ATCCCGGTTTCGGGGGCGCCCCTCGCCCCCCCCCCCCCCCCCCCCCCCTCTGCCACCCCTCCGTTCCCCCAATCTTCCCCCCGGCCCCTCCTCCTTTTTAGTTGCCCATCCTGACAGTGACAAATTACTACTCTGCTTGGCGAGATTGAAAATTAAAAGCATTTAAAGTTGCTCATGCATTTATGCTAATGAGAAATTCAGATATGATTTGCATGCCAAAGAGGCTCGTCTGGGCTCTCATCGTTGCTCTCCCCCGCCCCCCCGCTGCCCCTCCTCCCTCCATCCCTCCCAGCCCCTGCATTTCTTTAGGCTCTGCTTCTTCTTTTTTTTTGCCCTGCATTTTTTTTTAGGGAGGGAAAAAATGTGGTGCAGAACGCTCTCTTGTGTTTCATGGTTGTGTTTCAGCACATACCACAAATGTCACCCATAGCTTTTAGAGGGCGACTCAGCTATAAAAAAAATACAACAAATACTGCACGTACTCTGATGCACAGCGGGTTTCTTTTATACGCAGAATGTAATTCCTCTGTAGAAAAGGAATTAAAGGTGTTACTCGTGTGTAGACGCCGGTTTGTAAAAAAAAAAACATGAATAAAACGTTTGTTTTGATATAAAAGCATTTGTTTTATGATAAACACGTTCGGAACACTTTAGCTGGAGGATTAAAACTCAGTGCTAATTTGTTTTTTTTTCTTCCTCTCTTCCCTTTCCACTAAGCTACGTCCTCGTATCACGCGCACAATTATCAGCACGCGTGCTTCTCTTCAGAAATGTTTGTTCCACTGTTGCTAAATGATTGTAACCTTGGAAACGCGATGCTTTAATGAAGGTGGAGAATGAAATGGGACTTTAATTTGCTCCAGTCTTCCTGGTTGAGGTAAAATGGATTAGCTTTGATTGAGGTGTGAGATGAAGGAGGAAAGCGCTGACATGACACTGGTATTTGTCTTTGTGTCATTTCTGCGAGGATGCTGCAGCAATTAAGAGTCTGGGTACACAGCAATTAAAAGCGGTAGTATTCATTAATAATTTTTGTATTAAATTTTCAGCGGCCTCTGAAATGATTGCCAGCGTGCGCAGGATTTCCAATTATGCCGCCTAATTAGAAATGTCAATATTAAGAAATAATTAAACTGGAGAATATATTAAGGTTGTCAGAACCACTTAAAAAGTTATGACCATTACTCAGATGATGTTTTCTCTAATGTGTTTTGCAACGATTTGTAAATTAAAGATGAGACCGTGATCAATGCAGGAAGCAAAGTTACACGATCGCCGTTATATTTTCTTTTCAGAGTCAATGAACAATGTCCGCGCGGACGCTCCAGTCCTGATGAGTCCAAACAATGCCGGGTGGGATCAGAACTTTTCTGACTTTTGGGCTCCACCCCCTCAGGCTTCTAGGACTTTCTGCCCAATGACGTGTTGATCAAAATCGGACGGTTGCTCAGATCCTTTTAGAAAT